TAAGAGGAGCTAGCTGGAGGGCCATGGCGGGGTTCCTAATGGCAAGAACTGCGACTGAACAAGTCTTGAAAAGCACCTGGCAATACTTTTGGCTTGTTGGTTTATCTGTATATAGATTGTTGCCTTGACTGCTTTTGTTCCTACAGTTGCCTTTGGCAATCCCTTTCAAAAGTGGTATTGGAGGGTCTGGACGTTCGCGCGTCTGCCCGGCGTCCTTCCTTGAGACTGGTGGGTTTCAAGTTAGAGTGGCAGAGGCTTTCATCTGTTCAGCAGGGATTGTAGGAATGCAGAAGAACATGGAACCTTGAGCGATCTTGAGCGTGCAAAAATTGAGACACGTGGCAAAAAGAAGGCGTGTTCGGGCCGAGCGCTTGAGGTTCGTTGCCTCTGCTACCATTGCGGTTTAGCACATGATTTATCATCCGGGACAGCTACTAGTCTGATCCTAGCAGCTCAGTACCCTTCGCCCAGCTGACGCCTTCCGCGCGCCGTAGACTTTGCATGCCAGTGTGTCTAGAAACCCTGAGGCTCTCCCTTGTTGAAGTGCTCGTGTAGTGGGATTGCGGATCGCCCTATGCTTGTTTAGGGGCCTAGGGTACGCACGACTCTGGGCTAGGTAATTAACCTGTCTTTGGGCTCTGTTAATCCGGCACTGCGAACCCTGAGATACTGTAACTTTTGTCGTTTACATTGTTTTGCTATTACGTATATTACCCCAAACCCAAACCCTTTAATTTTGACTGTTGTTGATTGCCAATATGTTTTATTACTTCTGGCCAGGATGCTGTACGAGACGGCCGAGAGATTCAACCTGGAGCACAGCAAAGCCTTTGTGAACATCAACCACTCAAACCCGCCCTACACTCATCCCGTTCGCATCTTGGCTCGCCTGACAGGTTACACAATCTTCTATAAGAGCAGAGTCCGCAAGCGAGGTAGGCTCTGAAGACTACCTAGGTCCCCAAAGTCCGTAGAATCACAACCACTTGAGCTGTAATTATTCTAAACTCCTAGTATCCCCCTTACGAACCCCCGTGTATAATCTCCTATATACCCCCCCCCCTTTAAGGAGTTTAGACTAGGTATCGCTCATTTGGGCTGTTTTGGGGGTTTTGGGTCATCATGTATCCTACTTTTGGGGTCCATCCAGGTGTTTCCCCTTTTTCCCTCGCTTCAGAGGAGCTTTGGGGCTTAAGGTTGGAGGAAACGGCGCAGACTCAGGTTACTTCTCCCTTCCCGCTCACGAAGGAGAACCCCGCTATCCCCATAAGAATGTAACTGTAATAGCTCACATGTATGTACATTTTCATGTAGGTATGTACATATGTGTATATGTATATATACATGTACACACACACATACGCATATGGTTTCTCCATCATCTATGAATGTAGTACTAGATGAGAAATATTGATGATTGCGCGGTGGGACGATCCGTTTTGTTCCGGGGACGGGATTCGATCTTTGCTGGTTGCCTTTGGCTGTCCGAGTCAAAGTTGGCAGATACTTGAACTCTAAAGCCCTATCAATGACGGCGCCTTGCATGGCTTGCAGTAGTTGAACTTGATATCTCGAAGCGGTGCACAGTTGTAATTTGCTGCTATGTCGTTTGGAATAAACAGGGATGATGTGAATTATCGTTTATATGTATGTGTATTTGCATATATTCTACTCGCACCCTTCACAAGGACTTGTGCTGTGATGGGAAGCCAGATAACCTGCCTGGCATCCAGCACGAGCCAAACAAACACTCCTGTTCATTCCTTCAGCGGTTGCAACGCATCGTGTCCAGCGTCCCTTGCGCGGAGAAGGACCCCTTCACCCTAAACTCCTAAACCCCACCCCGAAGGCCTAAAAGCGAACTTGAATCAAGCTCTAGAAGCCCATGAGGAGATAGCATCGGGCAGTACAAGGCTGGCAAGAAGTAATTGTTGGCTTGTGCTGTGCTTACAGACATTTAGCTGGAGTCTAGGAATAGGGTTCAGGGTGTAGGGTTTGTTCAAGTACCCAACAAGTAAGTACTTAGGATGTGGGTACTGTTTTTTTAGAGAGAGGCCTTGAGGCAAGTATGTGTGTTTTTTTACTTCTTGTACTCTTAGGGTCATGAAGAGCCGTTAAGGGTCGGTAGTCGGTGCTGCTCTGGGTAACCCCTGCTAGGATCCCTTGCCATCGTGCTGGTCCATATAGGAATATTCAACGGTACGGTGGATACCCCAAATCCTGCATGACTCTAAATACCCTAAACCTTGGGAATTATGGTGCTATAGTATACTAGGGTCATGCAGGGCTTTGTGTATCAACAGTTGTTTGTTTACATTCCAGGGGAAGGCGTGCATCAAATCTCTAGGAAAACAGCATGCTGCCTTGTCTTCTGAAAGTAAATATGAGCAGGGTGAGGTCAACAGCATGAAAGTTCTTTGTGCTAACGAGGTTCCATGGTTCGTGCACGAAGTAAAGAAAGCATTCGCATTGTTGTTTGGATTTGCTGGTACGCTGACTGCAGACTACACAGCAGCCAGGTACTGTACCAGGACTCATTCAGATTCATCGCTGAACAGCTTAGGGTTGGCCATCATGAGGATTGTTTCTAGGCTTGGGATTTACCTGTAACCCGAATTACCTACAGTTTTATGGGTTAGGCCTGCAGTAATACCTGTCAAGTAAGTGGTACAAATTACTAAGCTGTAGGGAATTGGGGTTACGGGTAGGGCTTCTGGGGCTTTCAAGCATGCCCTCTCAGTTAACGAAGGAGTTTTTCAGAAATGAATCCTTGATTCGACTCCACATAATCCTCTCCCGTCATCACCAAAAGCCTTGAGGTTCCCTAAGCGCTGAGCAAGATGCTTCAAAACCCAAACTCAAAAATCTGAGCCCTGCCTGGACCTTGGATGTCCTTCCTCTTTGGGGTTCTGTCCTGCATGTTCGTAAGGTACCTCCCGAAAAATGTAGCACATCTAGTGTCCAGGTCAACAATCCCCAAACCTCAGACCAACAACCCTAATTAAGTTCCACAAAAGCAGGTCCGGCGCGAAGGCGTTTTGACCTTCACGTTTAACGTGGAGTCCGCGATTGCCGCCGCCTGGTCCGACGTAGCGGATGATGATTTCATTGGCTTTCTGAACCGTGCCTTTGAGCAATTTGGAAAGATGAGTTTCACTTTTCAGTTCTTGGTAGGGAATAAAGGAAAATAGTAAGGGAAGGGACTATATGGGGATTATAGTCCCTTATTCTCTGCCGAGAACCAGGAAGATTGCAAGGCATGGATTTCAACTTTCCAAACGGTGCCCTGCAAAGTCCACGTGTCAATGGGGATGATATGGGATGATACAGAACAACGCACTCTCAGGGGGGGTGTGAAGCTTTAAGACCTTGGCCCAGGCACCTGAAACTGAGGGACGCTGTCAGGCTTCAGGGCTCTAATGCGACATATCACCATCACTAAGTATCCCCTATCATCCCTGTGGCGCTTCTCAAGGGACCCTAGACTCTAAACCTATATACAAAACCCCCAAATCTGAAACCCTAAGCCCCAAACCCTGAACCCTAAACCCTCAACCCTCAACCTGAAATCCCAAACCTTGAACTTAAACCGTCAGCCCTGAACCTTAAACCCTCAACCTTAAAAGCCCTGCCTTCCATGCGGTGGGTCGAAAGAGGCATTGCTAAAAAATCAACTTGTAAACCCTAGGCCCTAAACCTTAAGCCCTAAACCTTGAGGGTCCCTGGCAGGTGGAAAAAGGCCCGATGAAAAAAACAACAAAACGTGTTGAACCCTCAACCCTACTCCTTAAATTCTCTGGGTTCTCAGTCCAGGACATCTGGGCATGATGCGTTTCGAGCCCCACAAGCGAAAGCTGCGACCGCTGCTGGCCAACTGGCTCCCCGACAGAAGCCATCATAAGATTTCCACCGGGTCTAGGGATTTGGGGTGTAGGGTTTAGGATTCAGGGATTTAGGGGTTTAGGTTTTAGGGGTTAAGGTTGAGAGTTTAGGGATTCGGGGTCCAAGTCTAGGCATGATACCCTACTTTTGACTCTACGGTCTATGAATCGTACCTACTTGGAGTTAACTTGGATCCCTAGTCAATGGTTTTTTGATTCAAACTTCAGGTTTCAGGGCTTCGGGTCTAGGGTTCAGGGATGCATAAAGGCCTTCTAAGAAATCAGGGACTAGGCACTATCCCGAAACCCTCCGAAACCTTAAACCCGAAGGGTTTAGGGCATAAGGGCTCTGGGATCAGCATGGTCAGGGTTTGGAGTTTCGCTTGCGGCTTGTTTCTAGCCTCATTCCTTGCAAAGCCTGCAGTCAACCTTCTATTTGGTACTCCACTCGTACTTCCTGTTCCTTATACTACATAGATATTTCTGTGGGAGGGTATTTATTATTAGGGGATTGGATGAAGCATAAAGCAAGGTGCGGAAAGCGTTTTTGCGACTTTGCTCACTCGCTTGCCCTTACCCCATGTAAAGGGCTGGCTTAGAATTGTTTTGCAGTCTCGAGTTCTGACTCAGTCTTGGTGTTAGTTGCTTTGCTTTTTTTGTTGTCTTGGTGTGGGTATGTGCGCTTGGCAGCCGTTCTCTTCGAAAGTCTATGTCTATGCGGTGGTTCTACAGAACTGGTCGTCAAACGCATGCGAGACTTCCTGCCCGTCTGCACAATAAGTCAGAGCACAATTTCCTCAACCCTAGGTTCCAAATCCCCAAGCTACCCAGGAGCAACGGACAATCAAGACTCAAAGCTCTGTAGGAAACCTGTTAGCTACTTCCGAAGCCCAAAACCCCTCATTCCTACCCTGGGGAACCTGGATATCTTAGCTCACGCAACCCTTAATGTAGAAGCCGGAATGAATGCCATCATTATTCCCGAGCCCTAAATAGCTCTACTAAAATGCACCCCAAAGCCCTCTTCCAATCGAACCCATTTCCAGGAAGGCGATATCTGGCATGCATGCGGAGCAAGAGACTTTCTTAACAGCGCTGGCATCAGACTTCAACATGGAGGTTCCCTACTTGGAGTATATGGTCCAGGCGCCCGAGATGTTGGGGTTTAGGGTTCAGGGCTCTTGCGCTAGGTTACTTGTACCTGGAGGGCCGGGGGGTCTTGGTAACTATACTTATGACCTCTACAAGCAATAGACTGATACCAGTCATCCCCATGATTAACCTACCGGTACTTACCAAGCCCCCTGACCCTCCAAGCATCCTTAAACCCTAAACCCTTTCCTTGGAGGGTTAAGGCCATCAGTTCACAATCAAATCCATGAAGCCCTGAGCCCCCAATCTAGTTGGCAAACACGGTTTAGGGTTTAGGGTTTAGAGTTTAGTTGTGAATCCTAGCTTCCCAAACGTGAAGACCCTGAGGCCTTCTCTAGACCCTTCGATGTAGATAGCGTCACGGAGGGTCTTGCAAGCAGGTTGATAAGGGGGATAATTGTAACTGGGGTTACCATATGGTTTTTAGGGGTTATAAGTATACTTACTAAGTCCCCCTGAGCCTCCAGGCAGTACCCTTCCGGTGGTTTTACTAGGAATGAAACCCCAAAGCCGTGACAAAGCCAAAACGGAACTGCATTGGAGCATCTCTAGTATAGAGAAAAATCAAATAAAGACCTTGCATTATCCTACGGCTCCTTACAGGTATAGAAGACACTAGCGTCCAGGTAGGCTTGAATAATTAGCAACGTAAGAATCCTAACCCCAACAGCATAAGAACCCCAACAAAAGAATTCAGTCAAAGGGTCCAGTAATTTAAGAAGAAGGGAATATTATCCCAATAGAATCCCTATATAACCTGTATAAAATCCCTATATCATACCTACATAATATGTTCCCATTCCCTTTTAAGAATCACAGTATTTTGCGCCCCGGCAGGCTTGCCCCGAGGCGAGTAATGAGACGCTGTTCCGGCTCATTCCAAGCCTGAAGCGCGACGGCTGCTGTGTTGCAGCCAGGAAGCCCAATATCCCCTAATTAGAGAGTATAACCTACATGATATTAGCATTCCTAATATGATCTAGGCCCAATAACGAAGTCCCTTTAAAGGGCTATATGGGGTTTAAGGCTTAGGGTCTTAAGGGGTGAATATATGATTCTTGAGTACTTGGACCCTGCAAGGCATGTACCAATATAGATTTCGGGTTACTGTGAGTACTGGGCTTCGTGGCCGTGCGCGAGAGAGAGAGAGAGAGAGAGATGGGCTGAGATTTTCCGTCTGAGCTATAGTCTGTACTCCTTAGAGGCGATTATATACGGGCTTATGCAGGGGAGTATTACAGGGGATATTAAGGNNAAGGAGGATACTAGGGGTTTAGACTGTAGACTACAGCTCATCTGAGGTTGCTCAACCTTCTTGGCCATGTCGCTTTTCCCGCAGGTTGAAGACCTACTGGAGACGCACAGGCCTTTGGCTTTGTTAGGAATGAACATCGTGCTAAAATACCAGAGAATCAGAGGGAATATTAGATGGAAATTGGGGTCATACAGAGGTTGTTTCGGGATTTACTTCAAAAATGAGTTTCCATATTGTGCTATGTACAGCACACAATAGGGTATCCTGATTATCGCGGCGTAATCTACATTCCCCAGCGGCCCGGCTCAAGGTGCATGAGTTGTAACAAACATGCAAAGAGGATATCCTCTGAACACGATTCAAGCGTTCGGGTTTGGATCTTGGGTGTGTTAGTTTCGGGGATGGATTGGGTGATCTAACTGCTCAGTAGCTGCCCCCCCATGAAAGCCCCGGTAGAACCTTTTGAATTGTAGGCACAGGGGGTCACAGGTTTGCTTGGGAATGAGGGGAATGAATCCCTATAGCAGTCCTCATACAATCCCTTGTCACCACTTTAAGTGAGCGGCGGCCAAAACCCCCC